TTAGGGCTGTTGTACATAGGGTCGCTATGAGTCGCAAGCGACTCAATGGCACATAACAACAACAACATGCCCAATGGAAGTATTGGTCAAGAAATCACATAATGTATTAGAAAGACAAGTCTTTTTGAGCTTTTTGTTGTTGTTTGCCATCAGACTGGAAGTGACCTATATCTATACATCCAGCAGGTTTTCAGAAGCAGTAAATCACACGAGAAGGTGATTGCCAAACCTCCTGGTGGATTTGAACTACGTTTAGCCATGCAGTACAGCTTCTTACCAGTAGCCCACCAGAGCTCATCTACGCTGTACCTGATCCAAGCCATAATATTCGAGTCGCCTTTATATGCACAGGAAAGCTGGACAGTTCATAAAGAATACTTAAGAATTGATGCCTTTGAACTACAATGTTGCTAACTAGGCTGACTGTTCTGTGAACCACCAGAAGAGCCCCGCAAGTATAGTCAGAATAGTCTCTGGAAGTGACTATGACAAGATTTCATCTCACAGATTTTGGATGTGTTATCAGGAGAGACCTCCCTGTCATACTTCGTAAAGTGCAGAGTCAGCACAAAAGAAGACCTGCACCTGAATGGATCCGCCCTGTGGCTGCAACAGTGAGCTCAGACATAGCAATGCTTGTGAGGATGGTGTCCAACCAGTGTATTGTTCTGTTGGGTGTAGGGTTGCTGTGAGTTGGAATTGACTCAACGGTGCACTTAATGATGCCAGCTCATTCTGTGTTCTTGGATATGTCATCTTGCATTTTGAAAGCTTAATTGTTATATTTACCAAAGAAATCTCTTGCACCATGGTGTGATATGGTGGTCTTTAAGATCATCTCCCATTGGAGTAGTTTGACTGTTCTGCTACTCCTGGTCATAACAGGTGTGTGCAACCCTTGCTTCCTTTGCACCTTTTTCTTTTTAAAACTAGTTACTTTTAGAACCAGCAGTCAGGAAATCAGAAGGCAAATTGCATTAGGAAAATCTGCTGTCAAGGACTTCCCCAGAGTGCTGAAGAGAAGCATGTCAGTCTAGACACTAAGGTGCATCTGATCCAGGCCGTGATCTTTGCAGTTACTTGCTGTACATCAGAGAGCTGGACAGTGCTAAGGATGAAAAAAAGCCTCGATACCTTTGTGCAGTGGTGCTGGAGACGAGTATTGAACATCCTGTGGACTGCCAAGAGAACAGACAGGTGTGTCCTGGAGAGGGTGAAACTAGGTTGCCTTTTGGAGGCAAATACTTTAAAGCTCTGTCTCACATGCTTTGGACATATTGCCAGGAGGGACCAGTCCTTGGAGAAGGACATCATGCTTGGAAAGGTGGAGGGTCAGTGCATGAGAGGAAGACCCTGGATAAGATGGGTTGACACAGTGACTGGGGCAATGAGGGTAGGTGCAGGGATAGAGCACTGGGATAGAGCAGGTTCAGAGCTATTATGCATAGGGTCGACTTGACTGCACAAAACAACAACTACTATTGGAGCTCTAAATAAATGATAAGGGAACACTTCACACATGCTTCAAAGTGAAGGAAATAATAGTACTGTGAGCTGATGGTTTGAAACACACACACACACACAAAAAGAACAAAATCAAACACACACACACACAAAAGCGCTTCTGGTTGCTTAGATTTTGTCTGTCTTTCCATCAGCATTAACAACTGGTTGGTGTTTTGTTGAGAGCTATTTTTCCCCCCAAAGTCAGTTATCACCTCACACAAGAGTTACTCTACGCAACATAAGAAAGGGATAACGATGACTCATTGAGGTGCTGATGCTGTGTGGTCAGCTGGACACCATAGCCAGGCCAATGATTTTGTGCTTAGCAGCCTACAAGTGTACCTCAGAGTCATGTCTTTGTTGATACGTTGCCGCATACTTTTTAAATTGACGACTGTGCTTAGAAACACATTTGCCATCATTTGCGGCAATGAGAAATTTTTACTCCATGCAGTCGTTCTTTAAGGACTGGTGCTCCTGAATATAATAGAGGAGTGAGAAGGAGGCCCTGAGCATCAGTTGGCTACATATGTCATCCCACGATGACTTTCAAGGCTCTTAGAATGAACTTCTGTCATTTCCCCATCCTGGACTCCAGTCTCCTTCCAGGAATGGTGTGGGTGGGAGACAAGATGAATATGCAACACCATGGTGTTTTGGCAAAACCAGTGGGAGAAGTAGCACATTTAAGCAAACTTCCGAGCATTTAGACTTAATTTAACCCTTACCTGGCGGGTTCTTTATGGCACAGAATCCTCCCTGGTATCTTTGCTGTTTTCAGCTTCTAATTACTATTTGTTTGGCTTGCATTTGTTGTTTTTGTTGTCACCTCTCCAGCAGACTCCGATTTCTCACAGACTGATTTCTTTGTCCAGAGTATTGCTTCCCACCCACGATTTCCTGTTGAGATTCTGCCCTCTTCCAGGCTCACCATCTACCTTGAAGCCTTGGAATCATCCTTGATGCTTTCTTCACCCTCCCTAATATCCATCTAGGTCTTGAAACAGACTCCTCCTTACTATATGCTTTTACTTCTTCAGTTACATAATCTTGGCTAAATCACTGGGGTAAAGGCTTTATCATGTCTCGCCTGTAAGCCTGCAGAAATTATTTTGAGGCCTCCTTGAGTCTTTTTCTCCATAGCCATTAGCTTAAATCACAGTCTGATCCCAAAGCTCTGGTAGGAGACCTGCAGTGGCCTCCAGATAACTTCAGAATCAAGCCTCTTTTTAGCAAAAAAGCGCCCTCACCCTTGAGGTCTCTGCGTGCTAGCCTCATTTTTCATTCTTGCGTTCCATTTTGGTGTGAGCCACACGGAATCACTTAGGCTTTCATAGTTCCATTTGTTCCCTCTGAATGTACTTTTCAGCCCTCAGGACCTCCTTAAAAGCTACTAACCTTGCAACTCATCTTGATGTTACTTTCTCCAGGAAGTCTTCCCTCGCCCCAGCCAACCAGCAGCCCCAGAGATCCCTCGGATGTACACCTGTAGCATCCTTTCTTGGTTAGATAGATTCTATCGTCTGACTTCTTTCCCAGGAGACAGAAGCCAGCTAGCCTTTGCTTTCCTGGCCTCTTTGGTCACTCAGATGTTTTGAATGAAGAGTTAGCTTGAATTTCACATCAGTGATGGCTTTCTACCTAAGAAGGGATGTGTAATGAGATATAATTCTCCTTCAGACTGTGCTCTGAACTCAGGAGGGGATGTTTCCTATAATCAGCAACTTCCTTTTTCCACCACTTCCCTATTCATTCATTTATAAAATTTATCCCAGTAACCCCTAAAAATAATTCCTTACAAAGCAGGAGATTTGGCAGGCTATGTGTTTTGGATTGTGCCAAGCCAGGAAGGTTTAAGGTGGCTATTAAGATTTTATAAATGTCATTTACACCAGAGAAACAGCAGCAGCGTTTATCATTAGCTTTTTTTGGCTGTGAAAAAATTCTCAGCCAAGCTGAAGCTGATTACATTGGCCTTGAAACAAAGGTAATTTATTCATCATAGGCGCAATCTCCTGTTAAGTAAAATCGGAATTTTAAGTGCTGATTGAAAGGAGAGCTGATGTATCAATGCACAAACAATTACCCTCTCAACCAAAAAGGTGACTCTTAAGAGTACTTTTTGATTGTTTTTGTGCCCAAAGCTAATTATTGTTGGCTTTTGCTGATGTCTAATAATTAACTTATTCATAGAACATTAACCTATATATTTTTTGTCATTACCACTCCCATTCTGATTCATATTTTTCATAGCTGGCGGCTTTATGTCTGTTTAAAATCTTCCTAGAGTTCTGCATGGCTCTTATTAAAAAGACCTTAGAAAGCAGGGACTCAGCTCAATCATTCCCATAGGATGCTGTTGATGTCTGAAAAGGAACTTAAACTCTGAAGATAGCATCACTTTTCTCTTAATTTAGAAATCATTTCCCCCATTGAAAATGGTGCTTCTACTTCCCCGATCACCATTTTTTGGTCTGCCCAAACTGTAGGCCTTCTGACCCTGTGGTGGATATCCACTGTGACTGCCAGAAGAGTCCTCTCATCTAGATTTCTTCACAGGCAGCCTTCCCCTACAGCATCACGGGGCTTTCCAACCCCACAGTTAAATTCTTCTCTGGTCCATTTGCAAAATAAACACTCAGAGAGTCTTGATTTTTGTGGTGGTAATGGTGGTGGTATAGCTAGAGAGAAATGTGTATGCTTTGAAATAGGTACTACGTTGTTTTCTTGGCATGTTAACAGTTCAGTTAAGAAATTAAAGGTTTGGGGATCCATGAAAGGGTTAGATATATATGTGAAAATGGAATATGGCCGTATTTAAATATTGGCCTCCTGTTAGCCAGTGCAAGTTGAAGGGTTGCCTTTAAAGAGTTTTGAATGGTACTCTTTCCACTATTTCCATTCCTGTCCTATACCTACTTTCTTCAGAGAAAGTTGATAGTTCCCAAGTATTTTTTTTATTTAATGATCCATATATATCTCGAAGGATCCAGTGAGGTCTACGTGAATGAGAGGTGGGTTTCCGGTAGCTCCAGCCTCAGCATCGCTGTGCATACTTTTCCAAGAAGGAAGTTCCCCCTTCCCAGTGCCTCCTCCAGATAATGACATTTACCATTTCTGTTCACCAGACACTTGGTTTTTTACAGATCCTCAATCCTAGTAGTTTTATGAGTTCTTTTTCCATCCCAGACCTTGAGGTGTGAAGAAATCTAATCTCTTTAGGAACCCTTGGAAGGGCAGCAAGTTTCCGGTAGCCTGCCAGATGATCTTGCTCATTGTATGGTTATTTATGAAGACACAGAAGCAGCCTTTCTCTGCCCTGATCATACATGTACCCATCTATGTGACCTGAAAGGAATCCTAGTCCATGTGTCTTAGGGAAAAATCTATCTGACTTCTCGCTTCATGTCTCCTGCTCATGCTTAAAAGCTTTCTTCTCTCTGGATTTGCCTTACAACTTCCAGCAGTGGTAGCTGATTGTTGTTTTTTCTTAGGGAGGAGGATGAGTACTCAGAACTGCGGTCAGAGCTCAGCCAAAGCCAGCAGGAGGTCAATGAGGACTCTCGAAGCATGGACCAAGACCAGACCTCTGTCTCCATCCCCGAAAACCATTCCACCATGGTCACTGCTGACATGGGTGAGTCTGCTGCTGTTACCACTAAGCCAGAGACTGGCCTCTGGATTATAGCAAGAATTTGAGAAATGTGGGTCAGCCTGAATTCACGTGACTAATTCAAGTTGCCTGGTATGTGAATGAAGGCACATCCATTTCAGTCCTTGAGATACTACTAGGTTATTGATCAAAGTAGAACTAGAGAGCTAAGTTAGGCTAGTAGATTGACGTGTTTGTGATTTTAAATAGTTGTCACCTTGAGAATTCTATGCAGGGATCCAGTGAAGAAAATACTGATTACAGTAAAATCTGAAGTAATGTGGCAAAAATGGAAAAGATGGTCCGTATTGCAGTGGAAAGGCAGTTGGTTTTAGCAACTGTTAGGTAAGAAAGGAGTCCAGAGTGATTCCCACACGTTGACCCTGAGTGGCCACAAGATTGATCTTGCTCCTTAGTCTCTCAATTAAGAAATTTTCATGGAACTTTAAGTTAGGAAAAGAGACTTTAACCAAATATTACATTTATGGGAACTCCCACCCCCGTGCACATGCATACTGCCTCTCTCGTTTTCTATTTTTAATCCATCAGAAAATATTGCCAATTTTACACCTTTTCTATATCCATCTGTTTTCTACATCTCCACATGAGGGAGCATAGTAGCAAGAACTTGTATCAGAGGAAGTTGGTTCAGAATGGTTCCAGAAAGGCTTCTTCAAGCCTTGATGTTTGAACTGAGTTCCAGAAGAGAAGGCAATCAGCCAGGGAAACTATTTTCATAGTTAGGGAAGGGGGTGAGATGATCAGCTTTTCTTTTCAAGTTCATGACTCTTTCTTGAGTATGGAGAAAGGACCGGTGGATGTGGGGGAGAGGCCAGCTAGGGAAGCCTTACTAAAGACTACTGGGGGCAGGAGGGACTGTTGCTAGGATTAGGGTGGTGACAGTTGAGCTGTGGAAAAGCAAATAAGTGTAGCAAAGGCATAGATTTGGAAACAGGGTGAGGCAAGAAGTGGGAGTTTGCATAATGGACAGACAGTGGGACCAGTCACCAAAACAAAAGCATGGTGAAGGGACCAGGTTGTTAGCTTTGGTTTTTTATTTTGCTTAGTCAGGAGGGAATGGGTAGTAGAGTAATGTGTTTGGGTTTGTTCATGTTTGGGAATGAGTTTGAGGTACTTGAAGAGGTCCAGATGTAGATACATAAGCAGCAGTTATAGATAAGCCAGGAGATCTGGCTGAAGAAAAGCACTTGGGGGACGCGAGGATGTTTGTGGCTGGTAACTGAAGCCATGAATCTTGATCAGTAGAGGGAGATATGTATAGAACCCAGCTCTAGCCTCTTGAGGACACTAGCCAATTAAAGAGATTCAGCAGGAGCTCTTGGCAAGAATGTATGTATCACCATTGCACCCTAAATTTAAATGCACCCAGAAAACATTCTTGTTGGCACCAGGTTGTGCAAGTCCCCGTGCTGACTCTGTCACCCATTTTCTTCTCATTTATGTCACATTGAAAATTTAATTTTGTTTCATTTGCTTATCTGACTCATGTAACAAACTTTGCTAGGCTAAAAACATGTTTGCTGTATCTACTAGTGCTCATATCTCCAGGACAGTGATTGGTATATCGTATGTTTTCAAAAGTACATTTTGGAGGAAATCAACTAATCAACCAACCAACTAACCAAACAACCACTTGACTATTTGGATATAGGAAGAAAATTAGGAAAGTGATATGATGGCAGTGGTTTAGAGAAGGAATAAGGAAGGTCACCGGAAGTAGTCGGCAGGTCACCGGAAGTATTCCTCAGTATGTTTGACTGCTGAAGTCAGCAAAGCTGACGTTATTGAGAGCTGTTTTCTCATACCAGCACTTGTTGTTGGGTGCCCGGCCCTGTCCCCCAATCTTCTCTGCAGTTAAGCTTCTTGTTGTAATCACTCCATTCACATGGAGGGTCTTCCTCTCTTTTCCAAGGACTGACCTCTCTTGACAGCACACCCAAAATATGTGAGACAAAGTCGTCATCATTGCCTCTGAGGAGTTCCTGGGCTATACTTCTTTCAAGACAAATCTGTTTGTGCTTTGGCAGTCCACAATATGTTCAGTACTCTTGGCCAACACCACAGCTCAACCAGACATAAATATACTATGGAGTAAAGGTGCCTCTGTAAGCTTCAGTCTGAAACTGCCTCCCTCCAACTAACCAAAATCTAGAGTCCAAGCTTCATATTACAGCACAAAGCTGCATGAGTCCAGTCTGCATTCACATCAGCGTCCTAGTTCTCAAACCCAAATAGCCACACAGTTCTCTGGCACCACAAAGGATCAGCCCTGTGCTGATTCCTCCATCCCTTCCTCTTCTAGGAAACTTAATAGATCTCCCTCATTCCAACGAAATGCAAATGTATTGCTGTCACATTGGAACCAACTCACAGCTGACCCTCCAGGGTACTGGATAGATGAGATGCAGAATCTGCTTCTGGCCAGGTCTGAAGGACTCCTTACCTTGGCCCACAAGGCCCCAGAAGACTTACGCCCACCAACCTTATCATCTTTCATTCTGTTTTTATGCCACCTCTGACCTTACTGGCATCATCCTTCAGAATTGGCCAGAAGAGCTCGCCTTCAAATCTCTGCATTAGGTGTTACTTCTGCCTGAAATACTGTTCCTTTAAACATGCACATTTCTCATCCCACAGGTTTTCTCAGCAAAGCCTTCAATGACCACCCCATTTAGAGTGGAAGGACCACTTACCCCTCCTTCCACATTCACTCTCTTTCCTCTCCTTCCTTCATTTTTCTTCACAGCACTTAGCACTGCCTAATTAGTGTTTGCATTTATTTGGTTATGCTTTATCAGTGTTGCTATGATGCTGGGCAAATGTCAGCAGAGCTTTCAGACTAAGGTAGACTAGGAAGAAAGGCCTGGTAACCTGCTTCTGAGAAGTCTGCCCGTGAAAGCCCTCTGGGTCACAAAGGTCCAACCAAACATGGAGATGGTGCAGGACCTGGGGGCATTCATCATGTGTCTGGGGCTGACTCCACAGCAGCTGACCCGACACTGCGTCTCACACCGAAATGCTGGCTCCTTGCAAGAGAGGGACCTCAACTCTTTTGTTCACCAGCATACCAGAGACAGGTGTTTGAGTCACAAGGAATACTAACCTGAAGTTCATAGTTCTTTGGAGGATGCAGACAGTAAACATGAAGTGGCAAATAGTGTAATCAAGACCTCAAGAGAAAGCCTAAAAGGGACCTCTAAAAGACAACCCTCAGGAGAGAGCTTCAGAGAAAGTGCAGGTAAGCAGAAACCGAGGATTGGCAAGGTCATGTGGAGGGGAGTGTTCCGAGCAGAGGGCCACCTCTGCCAAGTCCCTGAGAAAGGCAGGCGCTTGGGGAGGGCTGTCGGCCGGTTCATTAAGGCTACAGCAGAGTGCAGTCAATGGGTTTGTTAATCGGAGCTGGACGTCTGCCTCTCCTGAGTCGTTTGCCATTTTCCAATTAAATTGCTTCAATAGGGCAAAAAGCTTCCATATATAAACACCATTATAGGAAATCGTTAAAAAGCAGCCATTTCATTATGGTTGCTATATTTGCAAACCTGCATTGAGAAACCAGAGGTTCTCTTGAGTTGGATTTTATAGACAAGAGTTTGCTGCAGTATGTGTACTGATCTCCATTTAAAGATAATGGCATATTCCTGGCCTGTTTATCAAAAAAGCATTTTTCTTCAGCTTCTGACTCCCTCCATCAGAGTGGGTTGCCCCTTTCACTAAGCTGGTGCTGAGCACTGTTGGAAGAATTTGAAGAGAAAAACAGAGATTCACAAAGTGCTTTGACTCACCCAAAAGTTGTTGAAGAAAGGAGAAAAGGCCAGGCCCCCACCTCCAGTCACAGTATCTTGAATAAATAACATTAAGCCTGGTCACACAGTTGTTTGGAAAAATAAACGTAACAAAGTCAAGGAGGAAATTGTGGCTTGAGTTTTGTGTGTTTGTTTGGTGGTTGTTTTTTGTGGTTTTTTTTTTTTTTAAATTTCATCAATTTGGCAGAGTTTCCATTAAAAGAAAGGCTCTTATATCTGACACGCTTTGCTAACTTAACCTGCCTCTGTCAATTACATGCTTCCTCACATCTCATCCTTGATCTTGCAGAAGGCTTTGTTACTTGCCTCAGCTGTAAAAATCATGATAACAAAGTTTAGGGAGGGTGAGTAATTTGTCCAAGGCCACACAGCCAAGCAGTTGTTTTGTTGTTTCCACTGAGCGTCCCTGTAGATGGCTTTGCATAACAGTCTCTTGCGAAGTCAGTAAAACGTGCCTATGGTAGGTATGCTGTGCTTACTGCAGTCTTTGAAGGTCTTGAGTGCTGATGGGGGAAGTTAGGGAGCAGCTGTGTGATCAGAAACACCTGGCCTAATAGCAGAGTGTTTGTGGTTAAACGAGATTTTGCAGATCTCCGTAATAGAAACAACACTCATAGACCAAATTATTCTAGTGTTGCAACAGCGCAGGGCACAGATGTGTGCCCAGGCTCATTGCATCATGCGTGTTAGAGCATGTTTGCTGTACTCTCCAGCAGGCTGTTTTCCCAGCTCTGGTAATAAAATAGCAAAACTTGTCTGGAGCAATGGTTTATAAAACAAACAGAATCTCTTGTTGGATGGACCTCTGCATTAATATTTTCAGATCTCTTCTGGTTTTCAGTAATAAATTATTTTTTTCTAGAGTTTAAAAGTATGCAACCATTATACCCTTGGGGGTGAAAGAAAGCATGGGATAGCTTGGTTGCTGGTGTGATCATTTAGATAGATATTTCCTCTGTATGAGTAGTTTTTGGAGGGCAACCAAGGAAGAATTTGCACATGAAGCCTGGCTTTTTGGCTCAGCTATGACTATGAAATATGTTTCACATTAAAGCCAGATTTTCTGGCTTAGTGGCTGATGAGGCTTAATGGCTTCAGGAAAAATGTTTAGACGTGTCAAGTAGTCGCTCAAAGAGGGTTGAGGTGGCTGTTGGTTCAGGA